AGTGAAACACTAGGATCATCTCTAAATTGTGGCCACCGCCCTTACATCTTATATACAGAGGCACAGACAAAGAACATTCCTCAAACTCTTACATGATGGCCCATCTCACGGCCCCTCTGACCTTGTTTTCTACTTGGCCGTCACCTAAGGATTTACATCCCTGATAAGCAGAAGGAGTCTCACTATCTGTTTAACGTCTCCCATTACAACGGCCTCACTGTGTTAACATTCCACATGCATGTAAACTGGTGACAGGAGAGCTCTTACAATAATAAAGTGAGAAAGTGATATTACTATAACTAATGTGATATGATTAAATATGTGATTAATACATGAGAAAAGAAATCTGCCACCACAGGATGCTGCTAGCACTTTGGCTAACGCGTCACCCACCTTGCGACAAACCACTCACGGAGCATCAGGGGCTCAGTAAGTCTACCTCGGACATATTGACTGACACAATTGGCAGACCTATTAATATCGTTGAGAACACGCGCTTTACAAGCTTTGGTTCCTCGTTTCAAGGACTTGAAGCCTCCCCAAGAGTGACAGAGAGAGAGAGTGGATAAATGTTTACAGAGTTTTTTTGTTAACATGAATGTGCAAGATGTTCTATAAACATGTTAAATGCGTATATTTTCCCTTTTTTCTGGAGTCTGTTTGCTCATGCAAAATGAAATGTGATTAATATAGAATAAAAATGAATTATATTTAATCATGGTTAAAATCCAAATTAATCCACAGTAACCCTGTGATGAATCTGATTAAACATTTTAATTGTTTGACAGCACAAATATATATTATATTATTAGTGTATACTTACCTATTAGTAGATTAGTTGTTTTTTTTTTTAAGTTGTATTTCACAGGAGAGAACCTGTGTTAAAAGATTGTTCAAGCTATTTAAAGTCTCTTTGAATTTAAGCATACATTCTTTGTGTTTATTCTGCATTTAGTTCATTACATTGCATAAATGTCTGTTACAAGCTTAAATATAAAGTTGAAAAAATGTAATTGCAACCAGGCTATTGATCAAGTAATTGCGACTAATTACAGAAAATTGTTAGATTAATTAGTTAATTTTTAAAAATCCATTGACAGCACTAATTTATATATATATACATATAAAACATATGAGTTATTCCATGTCAAATCAGCCAATTATTAGAACATTTCCTGCTTAACCATCTGAGGTTTTTTGAAAGAAGCTCTGTTGATCAGTTTTCAGGCCTTCATTTTCACAGCAGTGTTTAAACATGAATATCTCAAAATCTATTAAATATAATAGCCTGAATACTCCAAGCATAAAAAATACTTTCCAGCATTAAATTCTTAGTCATCACTTGAGAAAATTCTAATTTCATTCCATTTCATGCGAAATTGAGCAAATATAACAAATTGTATCACAAAAACAAAAATATCAGTAGAAAGTTTCTCGATGGTACTTTAATTATAACTTGGAAAATAACTTTGTTAAATATGAGCATATTTTTTATTTGATCTGATTTTTAGAACATTTTCTGTTAAACCAGTAGCTACAAAATCCTTCATTTCTCTTTCTAATGAATCCCACCAAAAGTGAGAACTGAGTAAGGAAATCGTTCTACTCAAGCCGGGATAACATGAGAACTTGGACGTGTGACTCCAGTGGAGCACCGTGGCGCAGGCGGAGGCAGGGACAAACTGCCTCCTGGGAGGTCCTGCCCCGTGTCGGATAGGGTCCTTGATTCCCCAGGCCACCAACCTTACAGGAACCAAGTTGGATACTGGCAAGCTCTGGGGAATTGATGCTGGTGGCAAACTGGTGAGAGAGAGAGCATTAGGCTTGATGTTCCTTGGCCCTGGGTGGTAGGAGATGGAGAAGGTAAAGCATACAGAGAATAAATCTCAGCAGGCCTGCTGGACGTTTAACCTTTTTATCTGTTCTGAGATATCTTAAATTCTTATGATAAGCCCAGTTCATGAATAGTGCTCTGCCCCCTCTAGCAAGTGTTGCTTGTAGACTGTTTACTTAGCCTGGCAGGGCAAAGGACACTGTCTCAGCTGAACTATGGACACGCACACACATA